CCCCATTTGCTCTTTCCTGAGGATTAAGGTGATGGTACCTGTTTCAGAGAAGAGAGATACTGTTTTTCAACATGACAGAAGTTCTTCACACTTCTTTAGTGATAAAATTGTGCTGTTTTCACTTTTCAATGCCCAAATAGGCAAAGAAGCATATATTATTAATACAATCTAACAGCGTGTTTAAGTTGGGAAATAACGGAAAAGGAGAGATAAGGATTTGCATATAAACAAATGAAGGCATTGGATGAAAACCTTCATTTAGTTGTATCAAAATCCTTTCCTTTTGTTTTCCTCCATTTCCCTTGACGCAAACCTGCTGTTTGTTTAACAACCAGAACCATTACTTTTTTTGGCCATCGAACCATTATTTAATTATCTTGTAATAGATTAAACTGATCTAGCTAGTGACAACATAAAAAAGCAAGCAAAATAAAGGAAATTTATATATACCCGGTTTGCAAATTAGGGAATTCTTGGCAGACTTGATTATTGTCATGGGGAGGATAGAAACTGCGCATGCACTCATTATCAGCTATGATGCTAGGACCTTGAATTGGTTGGAAACAATGTACTTCCTCTAGCTGATGAGTATGTCACAGGAGAAATAAGGTGATTAGCACAAGCTAAACAAAATCTATTTCGAGTACTTTAGTGCAGATCTGATATATATATATATATATATATATAAAATACAAAATTACCTTAGTCATAAGCTCTGTATTTTGTACTTCAAGTTCATGTTCCTGATAGTTCCAAACAAAAAAATATCGATCTTATGCACTGAGCCAGAATTAATTAGCAGCTTTTGCTCATTCACAGTTTAAAGTTCGTAGAATTTATATATATATGTTCAAGGCAGGTAGCTTGTCAAAAGAGAAGGACAGAATTATGCCAGGAAATTAGGCAAAGCCTTGGCAATGCACTGTGACAGTTCTTATAAAAATAATTCAAATTTCAGACGTATGTACGTACCTTTTTGCGTAATTCTTCCAGCCGGTCATTCAACAACTGCATCTGCATTTACATTCAAGAGAAATGATTTAATTATAATTTGAGAATGTATACATATGAAGAGTTAAAGGAAAGAAGGTTTTAATTAAGTTTCTATGCATATTAAGATGTTAATGTTGTGTAGGTTGTGCTCTCAAATTTTTATTTTTTGGAGGAACTGCCTAATTAATCAGCAGTTTTCCAGATTTAACTAATTCAACATTATCTTTTGAATACTTATTCTCCGAAAATAAGCAGCACTTATACATACCTTTCTTTGTCTAACTTGTGAAAGAGTTCTGTCAAGCTGTTTCTCGGTTTTATGTAGCTCTTTTACATCAAGTTCTCCGAGGTCTTCTCCAAGAAAATGCCTTTATCACATGTATACGGTGTCTAATTTCAGTTGCTTTTGGAAAATGAAAATGATTACACCAAAATATTGAAAGCTTTATATATATATATATATATATATAATCATATTATTACGCAGTTAAAAAGTGAGTTCAGATATATTACCTCTGCATGCGCTGAAGAGATTCGTGTTTTGCCTTTAACCTTAACAATTCTTCATATGAGGTCTGCTAGGACAAGAAGAAGAAATTTGAACTCAAATGAAAAAGGACTACCTTGGCTACTATATATATAGAAACAAAGACCATAAATCATCTACCCTCTATATGTTGAAGTTATTAAAGCTTTATAATTCAAGAAAAAGAGAAGAAAAGTTAATTAGTTCAATACTAGATTTTGTGGAAATATGGAGGAAAGGGAAAGTGCAAAATCAAGAATTTATAACACTAACACAACATATAGAAGATTGAAATACTTTTCATGTTTTATTTGATAAGGTAATCTTATATACAAAGAAGAAGAATTTTATCCTTGATAACAAAAAAGCTGTAATTTTCATGACTTCTATTTTTGTTTCAGCAAA